ATATATATATAATTTATATATATATATATATATATATATATATATATATATATATATATATAATATATATATATATTATATATATATATATACTATACATTTATATATATACATATCATATATCTATCTATCTATCTATCTATCTATCTATCTATCTATCTATCTATCTATATATATATATATATATATATATATATATATATATATATATGTATTATATGCTGAATAATATATGTGTACAAATACATCAGAATATTAATGTACAAATATGAACTTAAAAAAAAGGAGATTGCTTGGTAACAGATCAGAATTACATTTGTTTAGTATTTCTTACTCTTTTTACTCCATATTAATTTATAAATATACAAATAATTAAAAAAATAACCCTGAGACATAAACCTTATACCTAAACACAAAGTGGAAATCACATTGAAAATTATACATATATGAAGACTTCATATACCTGCACACATATGCATCCACACAAAGAACAACATACATTCATTTCAAAACACAAGTCCACATTTTCATGTATGCTTTAAAACTACTTGCATACAGACAGACACATGAAAATATTTTCACATAAAAATATACCTGAACACATGGATACTACATTTGTAAAGTTACACAGAAGTAGATTGTTATATCATGAGAGATTAATGATTTTGGTATCTAAATTACTTCAAAATCAGTACTATATCTACCTACAATTAATTACCTACAAGAACAAAGATTCTACAAAAAGAAATGAAACTTTATGAGCAATTTCACTTTTCCTCAACAGTATATCTAGCTAAAGACGAACCATTACCAAAAAAAAAAAATAAATAAATAAATAAATAAAAACTAAGTCAGATATTATACCATATATTCATATATATCATAATTTGCCTAATTTCACCAGAATTGTTTGACTTATGGCCTTAAAAGCAATAAACTTGTGATTTGTACATTTTCCATTTGCATCTCTAGTAGTTCAGAGGATGTTAAAAATGTCTTTCTGTCTTTACAATTCTTATTTCTTTTTATCTAACTACTGTATTGTTTATTTCTTCTATTTTCTGTAATTTTCATATGACAAAAGGATACAAAAATACCTTGGGTAAGTGCCAAAAATGTAAGGTAAGTATAGAGCTGAAGAATGGAATGCATGCTGTCCACAGTGGAACAAGAAAAAATAAAACACTTTTTCACTGTTTCACCAATATGCATCAAAACTTGTGCTTTCACCATAGAACCAAATTAGGGATCAAGCTAAATCAAAAATAAATTACTAAATTAAACAAAAAATTAAGAAATCAATCAATCAAACAAATGAAGACAATTAAATTTAAATGCTTTAGAAATCCAAAATGTATGCATCCAGGACCGAAGGGTCTGAATTATACAGGAGAGGTTACCCATATATCCATACTGATATTCCTATTAAAGGCTATGATGCATATGGAAAAGTATTCCTGCCCTGGCTCTGTTGTATATGGAAATGTATCCAAGTCCTAGCTCTAAGGCATATGAAAATGGATCCTAACAGAAAATTATTCTCTTTTTATGCAGCTGATGATCAATGAAGAATTACTATGTGCTTTCTTACTAGTTCTACACTCTTCCTATACTTCTAAAATGGCTTTGAAATGTCCAAAATGCACTGTTTCATCCTTATAGGATGAAACTAAAAAATAACTGAAGCACCAAAGAATATTATCATAAATTCATATATTATTCACTCGGAGGACTACCTTACATATTCTAATTCAGCAGTAACAAAAGTCACAGTTTCATTGAAAATCCAGACTGCAATTAAATCTGACTCTTTGCGCAGTAAAGGAATACTCTCTATATTGCCTCCGAGTTGAGTTACATCCTAATTAACAGAGAGAACCAATCATGCTGAGTGACATGCATTGCCTTCACCTCATTCATAAGCTATAAACCATAGAAAGTAAATGTGATTACTCATATATACAAAAAGAAATATTTCTCATATCTACAAAAAAAATAGAATTTACTTGTGAATACCATATACATTTGAACACTTAATGCCATTCCAGTGAAACAGACAAATATAAATGCAGCTATATCTATCTTCTGGCAAGAATATCATATGAAATCAATATTTTTTTTGCAATACTTTAATATGTATATCATCTGAAAAGTAAAGATGTAAGCAAACAAAGATGTGTATACTATTGACATATATACCTAGAGCATATATATATGTAAGTCTGAATTTGCTGATAATCAAATGCAGAAACTAAAACCAGATGAAATCATTCCTCCCAAAGTAGATAATAGGAAGATCAAGAACTAAAAAACATTTTTGAGAAAAGTCTAGTTTTTTTCCAATTAAACCTTTATCATGTTTATATAAAGAAAACTGCAATTGAGATTATGTCAGTTGTGATTACCCTTACCTTGGCAACTGTCCTCATCAGTATAGTCTGGACAGTCATACAGACCATCGCACCTTGCTTGTTCAGGAATACAAGTTCCGTCCCTACAAGTCCATTCCCCAGAACCACAAGCTATATAGGGACATATCAAAACATGCCTTAAAACTCTAAAGGAATGTGAGGTCAAGTCATGTTAACTAGTTAATAAAAATGCAATACCTTAAGGCAAGTACCAGAGAAAATAAAAAAGCACATAACATATATCTGTATTGTATAATATTTATAGCTGTATATATATATATATTATATATATATTATATTCTATATATATATATTATCTATATTATTATAATATATCATATATATATATATAATATAATATATTATATATATTAATATTAATATATATATATTATTATGTTATATTATATATATCTATATATATACATATATATCTATATATATATTATATATACATTATATAT